GTGATTTGGCAAAATCCAGACAAAGGCAAAACCAAACTTGGCAAGGGATGACGCAAATTCAATGTACAAGTGTGCCTTTAGCGTTGTCCTCGTCACATGCCGTACACTTTCCACTTGTTTGCATCTATAGTATATCTTAGATATTATATGCTATTGATGAAATTTAAAAAAAAAAAAAAACGCACGGCTTCTTAATCCAACTGTTTTGAGTTTGGTAAAAGATTTCATAAAAAATAGTTGTGTGTTTTCACTTCACTTTTTACTTAACAAAATTAAGATGAAATTTCAATCAACCGTCAACTCCAGAATTTGTGCGATTTTTGACGACGCTTTTATGATTCTATACTCTTATATCTAATATTTATTTTTAATGAAAATTTGATAAATTCCCAACTAACCTGCCGCTACCCAAGAAGAAATTAAGTGAAATTAATAATTTAAAAAAAAAATAAAGTAATGTTTGAGAGAACCATATGGCTATATAACTAAAGATATCGAAAAGCTAGTTCACATATGTATACACACATCGATGGCTAAGTGGAAGATCGACCTATCTCGGCAACCAGTTGGAAAATGCTTTATCTTAGAAAACTTTTCAAGAACGCCCTACTTCAGAACTTGATTGAAAAACGCCCTAGCTCAGTATTTGGTTGAAGAACGCCATATCTTAGATGCCGATTCAAAAACGCCCTTCTAAGCTTATTTTCAATATATTTTCGTATGAGATAGGGCGTTTTTAAACCAAATTCTGGGATAGGGTGTTTTTCAATAATATTCTGAAATAGGGCGTTTTTCAATCAAATTTTGAAGTAAGGCGTTCTTGAAAAGTTTTCTGAGATAGGGCGTTTTCGAACTGGCTGCCGAGATAGGTCGAACTTCCACTCAGCCATCGATATATTTTTATTAGTCAGAATACCATGTTTTAAATATTAAGTATGCCGTTTTTCAAATTCCGAACATTAATATTGTACCTATTTTTGGCCACTTCGAAAACATTGTGAGACGTTGATTAAATTTTAATACATTTTTTTTTTAAATTATTTAATTTTTATTTAATTTATATTTTTACAATTTCACCTGTGGGTAAACAAATCTTACAAAACATTTTTAACCGACTGCCGTTGAACTAGAGACTAGAAACTTTAAGGTTGGCTCAGAAGCCAATGGCAATGCAATGTGAAATATGAATTAGTCCGGTAGGTGGCGCAGGTGTCGAGATATTTGAAAACTCGTATTTATGGTCCGATATTGTTCGTCCTATTTGGAATATATATTATCTACCTAGTATTTAAAAGGGAATAACTACACAGTCGAGATAGTTGAAAAATTCGTATTTATGACCCGATTTTTTTTTTCATATTTAGAACTTGTTATAAAGCTTTAATAGACGGAAATAACTACACAAAAACTTTTGCCATTAGGTGGGGCGGGTCAATTTTTCTTTTTTGCTACTAACCACGAACAAAAGCTTGTCTTAATTTTTTTTTAATTACTTGTTTAAATTTTATTTAATTTTTCGTTTACGTTACTAAATTTTTTTGTTTCGTTTTACTCTGACTAATTTTATTTTTTAGTTTTAGCATTCTTTTTATAATTTTGCATTGCTTTCAAGTTCTCTTTGGGCTAGGATACTGACTTGAAATAGAAAAGAAATTGATATTATAATCAGAGCTGAGCATTCGAATTAAATTATATGTGTAGTATAATTATTCGCAAATAATTTAGTTACGACTGAATTAGTCGGGAATAAATTTCTTATGTTTAAAGGTTTCG